TGTTTGTCCACTGCAGATGGGAAAGCAGCTGCGTTGTGAGTAGATTTTGATAATAAAAACAGTGTGGGTAGAAAGGATTAGGAACTTCATCCCTCAGTACTAGTACTAAATTAAAATTTAAAACCCTTCTATTTGCATTCTTCTTTTTTTTTTAAAAAAAGTGGGATATTATCACACCTATCTATCCATTCCACAGTAACTATTCTTTTAAAATGCAAATTAAATATTTGATACATATTTTTTTCACCTGCCTGGAAAATGTCATACTGATTTATACATGCCATGTAGTTTTAAAGAGTTATTTTCAAATTGCTGTCAGTTGTTTTTACAGGAGCATTTTGGTTCCTCACAGACTTAGTAAAGACCCTTCAAAGAAAAAAAAAAAGAGCAATGGCAAACAGGTTCCCTGAAAGAAAGCCAGTCAATCCGAGTTTCCCATCTTTGTTTGCAATACACAGCTGCAGGGGAGTATTGGAGTCATTCCAGGACACAGAATCAATTTTCCAAGCCAACTATCTAGATCCATTAGCCTTGGACAGTGGTGTCCTTCAGAATGCAGCTATTTCTTAGTAAACAACTGATAAGGACCAAGGAGAAGACATTTTAAAATTATTGGTTTAAAGTGATAAACCTTATAGCTATTTTTAATGCAGTTCAATTATATACACTCTTTTCATATATGTAGATAGGACATTCCACCATTTTTATTGGATCTACATCTGATCCAGCAATGGGATTCTACAAATATATTAAAATGTATCTTAGGGTCACAATACATTTGTTCAGTTATCAATGCTTCTGCATTAGGAATTCACACATACATACACACGTGTATATGTATACATACTATATCTCTCAGCATTCCTTAAACTGGGTTCCTTCAGATTTTGGACTTCAGTTCCCACAATTTTCAGTCAGCATTTTTCCAATGACATTTCCTTGAAACATTAATAATCTCATAAAGCTTCTACATAATTTCAATTATCTCAGGAACTGAGAAATATGAAACAATTCATTCTTTGGTATTTTAAGAGTGACACTTGTGTGAGTGCACATGTGTATTTTTGTTCAGGGAACCACTGAGGGGTATTTTGCAGATTGACAACATTTTAGTAATGTAGCATATTCCTCTGTTACACAAGAACACTCAAAACTATATTTTTCCTTGTTGATTTCCACATGCTAAAATATACCTTATAGGTTTTTTTTTATACACCACTTCTTTCAACAAATCAATGTATCTTTTAAAAGAGTAATATCAATAAGAGTGGAAAAGGAGCTGCCTTTCTATAAATTGTCAGTTGCATAATTTCCTATATAATCTGGCACTTACTTTTTGCCTTTTTAAAGAAAGCACAGTTTAGACTATGATGCTTCTAGGCCATAAGTAAGGTCTGTATTCTTCTTAAAAATTAATCCTTCATAACAAATACTGTACATACTTTGGAGTTTGTCCTGAGCCAGGGGAAAAGGGCATTGCGAGTGTACAACTTTTGATTCCACTAGAACATAATAGAAAAGGAAACACATGTGGGCCCATCTCTTGGCTAAAAAAGATAACTGCATAGCCCTTGCTACTGGAAAAGATGCAGAACTGAAAGGAGACAAACTCTAGTTTTTGACTGAAGACCAAGGACCACTAGAGGAGGCTGACCTACCACCTCTAATATGTGCATTTTCGCACAGTCCCCATTTCTTTTTCTTTAGTGTCTTTTAGTATGTGCGGCCTTGGCTAGAGGTTGCTTTTCTTTTAGTACTGTACAGCATTTACATTTTTTAGACTAAATATGTTCATGTAATTATCAAATAAATTAGATGAAAAATAGTCACACTGAAATCTCTTAATTTACTCCAAACTTGTGGCATGATATTGAATTAATAACCATATTTAGGATTGCAGATCCACATTTACTTGTTTCTAGTAAGAATGTTTAGGACTGTAGATGACATTTATGATAACAGCATAAAGCATACAAAGCAAATTGGTTTTTCAACTGTTCTAGGACGTCGAGGCTGAAAAATAGGGTATATATATTTCATTAAGGCAGAAAAATAAATAAAATAATAAAACATGCTTCCCCAGGAATCCAACTGATGAAGTTTGACTTGTTGCAACATGACATTGCACTCATGGAAAAGTATATGAGTATATACTTAGGAGTATATGAGATGTGACTGTTTGTCTTTGTGTCACTGAGGTGGTGCATTTCTTTACTGCGGTGCATCACTTCATTTCTTCCATATTCACTTCCATTTGCTAGTAGATATGCAGGAGGGGCCTCAAAACAACTGGAAATGAAGCAACATGGCTTCTTCAGTCCTTAGAAGCAGAAGGCCATGTTGCGTTATTAAAGTGAAACACTCCTTCAAAGCTTTACACAGCCCTAGCAATTATGCATCATTATGATGTATAGTTTATTTCTAGAATGTGTTGCCCCATTGATTTAAAAATACCTTCAGTAATTGCAATACTTCAATATGTTCAAATGTTAATATATATTTCAGTTCCTCCTAGGATTGTCTGGGAAGAGAGGAAAAAAGTGTTTCAAATGAAGATTTTTAAAACTGCTGATTAGCCTATTAGAGGTACTGAAGGGAGCTACTGGAGTGAATTGTTTGAATCCCAGTTACAATGGCTATCTGTTTTATATTTATGATCTTGTTCACATCTCTTCAGCTATATCTGGTGGATATATTTAGGTTTATGTGTTTATTATTATTCTGATTGCATATATTATGTTAAACATATTTCTAACACATTTATTTTCTCAGCCTTAAAGCACGTATATCAATATTTTTTAAAAAATAAATTGTTTCATTAATTTTTCTAATTTAACTTTTTAGAGAAAATTTATATACAAACACAAACAGAAAATAAAAAACAGATAAAGAGGGTAAAAGAATAAAGCACAAATGAACAAACAAGGGTTCTAAAATGTCAAGGTTATAGTTTCCCATATTTCATTAGTAAATGAATGATTGAATATAATGTATTGCTTTAAATGATTAAAATCACTATTACACTTTAAGCAAGGATAAAACACAGTATAAAATTTATATTTCATAAAAGAAACCATGGTGTACTACTAACAGCTGTATGCAACAATGGGCCTTGATAAACGTAACTATAACATACCTGTAAGCATACCTGTAACTCTGGGGTTTTGTGTTTTGTGTGCGTGTACGTGTGTATGTGTGTGCTTTTAAGTCAGCCTTGACTTCTGGCATCTATGGTAGTTGGTAGTTTTCTCGGCAAAATTTTGGGAAGTGGCTTGCCATTGCTTTCCTTCTAGGGCTGAGAAAAAAATGACTGCAATAAAGTCATTCAATTGGCTTTTGTGCCTATGCCAGGACTAGAACTTAGGTCTCCCTGCACTTTAACCATTAGACTGGCTCTCAATATTTAGCTATACTTTTTATAAAGACCATGCTGGGAATAATTCTTTCTTTTTCTAATTTGTTTTCCTTAGATGGAACCTTAGAGAGATTGCAGATGACAGGAGTGTATAAGGGAAGATGATAGACATATTTAACTATATCTAACCAGCTTCCAGTTGAAAAGCTATCGTGAATGAAAAGCTAAGTTGAATGAAGTCCTTGTGGTACCAGAATCCATTTTAACAGGAAGGAAGACAATATTTAAAAATGTTCCTTGGGCTGTTTTGAGATATTTGGGCCTGAACTATGAAAATTAAATGGATATTAGGAGCACATGTAAATTAAAATGGAGAATGGCAAATATATCTACTTTAGCTCCTGGAATATTAAATAATCTTTTCATCCTGCAGAATGTATATTCAATTAGACCTTTCTCTCTCTTTAGGCGATGTAATTTGTAGGACTGGTACTTGCAAAAGTTCATTCTTTCATTTGGCAGACTGGTTTTAAGTCAGACATACTAGAGAACAAAACACTCTCACACAATGCCTCCTTTCTATACTCTGGGAGATCCAGTAGAAATAGATGACAAAGTCTTGGCATCTTTCTGTCTGACTTGGAAATCTCTTCTGAACTGATGTCCCATGTCAGACAAGGTAACACTAAATTGCAATGCAGACTTCCAGCTGGGATTCCTGCTAAACTGCAATGACCAAATGCATATGGGGATGCTCCATGCCCAATTATACAGTAAATTATTTAGTAGGCTGTCATCAGATGACTTCAGGTTTTGTTTTGTTTTTTAGGAAAAACAGTAGATGTTGCCAGATCTAATTTCAAATACATTTTACTGATAAGATTATCAGTACGGTGCATTATGATTTTATATAATCTTCTCCACCTCCCTTTCTCTCTTTTACATTTTGCATCTTTGTTCTTCTTCCAAGTTTCATGTTCTCCAGGGTTAGAAGGTCTGGGAGGATAGAGAGCAATGAAAGGGAACAAACAACGAACAGATTTGCATAAAATAAAGAGTATCAGTCTCGTTGATATGCAAAGTAACATGCAAATATTCCATGCATATGTGCACAATAAGTTTGACAATATTGTTTAGACTGTGAAAAGCTTGTGATTGATTGTAGACTAATGAGCACACAGGACACTAAAATGTATCCAGGAAATAAAGATAAGCATGAAGACTATGGTTAAAACCATTTCCCAAGCACTGCTTTATTTAGCTTCATCTCTGAACATTGCAATAATCTCTTCAAAGATTTTACCACAACATCTGCTCCATTCTTATTAATATACGAAGCCGGAATATTTGTGTCTTTCAAAAAGAAGACATTCAGGATATTAAAACAGATCACTTGATACTGCTTATTCTAAGCAGAGAAACCATAAGGTGTGGGAGTGTGAATACCAGCTATAGTGCATGTTGGTTAAAAACTATGGTTTTTCTTGGGAATAGTGTTAAACTAAACCTAGAGTGGACTTTTCTCACAGGCTGTATGTAAGAAGAATGGCTATGCTCCTGCTATTTTTGAAATAATTAAATATGAAAATGGCTGAGTTTGCAAAGAAAGATTTAGCTGAATGAAGTGTTCTGCTAATAGACTTACCCTCCTTCTTCTGAGTATTTGTGACCAAATGCAAGGATATCAGATGCTCGGCCACTCCCATCACACACTACAACAGGAACTGGGGGAGTATCACGCAGATATTCCAGGACGATAGAGATTACATTGGGTCCTCCTTCTACAATGAGGGCCACTACCGGTACCCCTTGACCAATCCCTGTAATGAAATAAACAAAAGCAAAACAAACAAAGAAAAAGCAAGCGAATCAAATAAAAATACACCAAAATAAACCAAAATTATTGCTAACACTATTACACTTAAATAACATGAACAACCTATGCATAATTCATGTATTAGACTTAAAGTTCAGCATGTGATCATCCAAGTGGACATATAAAATAATAAACTGGCAAGATTTTGCTTTTGAATGTCACCATGAAATGAGGGAGAGAGAAAAACTCTATAATATACAAAGATTCAATGTAATCCCACTAAGGAGCACCTAAATATAAACAAGTTTGTATTTCTTAGCCATAACTCACTCTCTCACACAGAGTGTAAACAAGCTTTCAATTCTTGGCCATAACTTTCTAAATTAGAAGTCATATCTGAAAGGAGCTCTATGGCACCTGTACAATATTATCATAAAATAGGAAAGTTCTGCTGCATCTCAGAAAGGACAAATGGTTCTTGTAGGAATGTAATCCATGAATGCAAAAACCTCCTATTTATTTTTGATAGGCTCAGAATAAATAATAAAGTTGCATGTTCTACACTTCTTCTTTAGAAGGGAATTTAATGCAGGAATTCTATTGGAGCTCTTTATTAAGGCTACTTTCTCACAATTGTAAGCTATAATAGTGATCCCAGTTAGCTGGTGCAATAATGTAATGCATTAGAATGTATCTAGATTATTATTGTTGAAGCATTCCTATAAATGGGCATGATTTTGCTTTTGAAATGTATAGTAGTCATCATGAAATGAGGGAGACAGAAAAAGTCCGTAACATATAAAATTCAATCCAATCTCATTGAGGAGCACCTAAATTGATTATTCTAGTTCATAGAAATACCCATGAATGTTATATTTTACAAGGACTCAGGTCCTGCTTATGACACCTATCATATTTTGTCCCTCTCAAATGGTAAGGCCTTTCAAAAATCAGTGTTCCTAATAGTATAATGTTTTAAATATATTTAAAGGTATAAATCAGATTTGCTACCATTTTAAATGTTCTATTGAGTAATGATATTTTAATTTTGTTAAGACTCAAAAGAAAATACATTTCATTTATCAAAAGTGCTTTACAATTTATTCAAGTTTCTAATCTGCTTTTCCTTGTTGGCTTTTATTGTAACTTTAGTAGTGAAGTATCTTGGGTATCTTTGGACAGGAGGTTTAAGCAATAATTTCTGATAATCCCAAAATATGAGTCTCTTCCCACATAGTGGAGTCCTTGGGATTCTCTAACCTTGGTTGTTTTCTTGCAAATGTTTCATTACCTGGCTAGGTAACATCTTCAGTGCTAGAATGGAATGTGGTTTACTCTCTGTTTATATACTGTGGCATGCCCTGCCAGTGTTGGGGGGCAGGGGTTGTTTTATTTTTTCCTCTGGTAGTTCCTTGATTAAGGT